CCACCCAAAGCCTGAAGAGCTGTGGCCCAAGTGGCAGAGCTCTAGCCGGGAGCTAAAAAGCTAAGCGTTGATCATACAGAATAGTATTTATCAAAATGAACTCCAGAAAACGGAAATGAGGCTTTTTTTTTCCTTTTCGTCCTGTTTGTTCATTTTTGTCTTTGGGAGGGAAAGGAAGGCATAGAAACAGAGGGACCGAAACGCAGCCGTGGTGCTCACTGAGCACTGCGTTGAACCTGTGGGCGGGGATGGGAGGAAAACCTAGGAGAAAGCAAAGGGTGTCCAGAATGAAATCTGAGGTGTGTAACTATAACCCGTGTGCGTGGGCATGTGTGTGTGTCACCTTTGTAAAACAACGAAAAAAAAATTTTTTTTTTTTTTTGGGTCCGGTCGTGGGGCCTGAACTCTGGGCCTGGGCGCTGTCCCTCAGCTCTTCAGCTCAAGGCTAGCGCTCTACCTCTTGAGCCACAGCACCACTTCCGGCTTTTTTCTTTTTGCTTATGTGGTGCTGAGGAATCGAACCCAGGGCCTCAGGCATGCAAGGCAAGCGCTCTACCACTGAGCCACCTTCCCAGCCCCAACAATGAAAAATTTTAAAAAGTTAAGCAAACCAAGAAAAGTCAAGTATTAGGTTGCCGCGCATGCCTCCCAGCATTCTGTTTTGCAGTGCTGGGAACTGAGCTCAGGCTCCGTGCTTGCTGGGCAGGTGCTCTGCCACTTGATCCATGCCCCCGCCCCCTTCGCTCTATTTTTCAGACTGACGCACTTCTGTGCCAGTGCTGGTCTGGATCTAGCTCCCTGTGTGGCTGGAGGGCTCTCAAACCTTTGCCTGGGATGGCCTTGAACTATGGTCCTCCCAAGCTCTGTCTCCTGACTAACTGGGATTACAGCTGTGAGCCACCATGCCCAGCCACATTTTAGTTTATTTTTTAATACCATAAACACGGCTAAAAGCCTACATAAACAAAACCAGGTTGGGGTGCTCAGTTCTCTGTAATGGTGCTCAGGGATCCTGGGACCAATGCGTGAGAACCCCCTGGTCATACATGGACCCAGGACCTAGCGCATTCATGTGTGCAAATAAGCAACAAATGTTCACCAGGCACTTACTGTATGTCAGCTTGGTTACAGGTGTAAAGATACACGTGTTTCTCCTCACTACCCAGGAAGCAAAGAGGGAAGCAGAGTGCCACAGCCCGACAGTTCTGAGACCCCATCTTAATGGGTAAGAAGCTGGCTGTGGCGGCAGACACCTGCCGTCTCAGCGTAAAACAGGAGGACTCAAGTCCAGGCATCTGCCGTGGGAAAAAGCCAGGCCCTACCTCAAATAACAGTTTTTAAAAAGGGGCCTGCTGGTGTAGCTCAGCTCTAGAGCATCTAAGCAACAAATGTGAGGCCCTGGTTCAAATCCTAGTACCAGAACTAAAAGACAAAATAAACCTGCAGGCTTCCCATGGCCGCCTGGTGGACACAGGGTGACGGACGGAGGTCAGGAGTCGGCACGCTAAAAGCACACGCTGAAACTCGGCCATGCTGCCACGGGTGGACGACCGCAAGGTCAGTATGTTTAATGAGCTCAGGTCAAACCTGCCAGGGCCCGGCCAGCAGGGCAAGGGACCGTCCACAGGAGAGGAAACACAAACAGAAGCTCAATGCCCGCCTTCACCACCAAATTAGCTAACACTCAGCCCAGAGACACAAATACCCAGAGGGGGGCACAGAAGTTTCCGGAAGCCATTTAGTCAGCAGGCCGTGACGACCTTGCAGGTCTTGGTGTCCCGCCGCTGGATGGTCCACCCAGGAGCAACGCGGCGGGACTGGCCGGTGCTGCGTCACGCTGCCCCCACCTGGAGCCCAGGGGCACAGCCCAGCCTGGGAATGTCCACCATGCAGCATGGAGCCAGGAGGGAAATCAAGGCAGGGAGCAGCGCAGACTGGCACCAAATCATTACATTTGCCTTTGTCTTTAAAGCACGCTGGCGGCGGGTGGGAAACCCGGCAGCTTTGTGACCCCGCGTGGGGAGTCCTCATGTCCAAGGGCGGATCGGGGTGGATCGGAGAGCAACGGCTGCCGGACCCCAGCACTGTGGGCAGCGGCCCAGTGCCCACCGCCAGGGCCAGCTTCCGAACCCCGAGCCCCGTCTGCGCCTCCTCGAAGGCCCTGAGCGAACACTCGCTAAGCAGAGGGACCCGAGTCACCCGGGGCTGCGGACGGGGCCTCAGCCCCAAAGCTGTCCCAAGAGGCCTGTGTCCTGTGTGCCCAGGGGAGCTGCTGAGGGGCCTCGCCACGCCAGCGTGCCCGCCTCCCATCACTATGCTCCAGCCGCAGGGACGGGCGTGCGGCCCGGGCCAGCCTGCAAACTTCCTCGCTCCCACTCGAGGCCTGCGGACACGGCTTGTTCCCTGCAAGTCCCCACAATGCTTCCGGACGTGACACTGCAGCAGCCACGCAGGCTGACTGACCTGATGGCCGCGCAGCGAGCCACCGGCTCTCCACACCGAAGGAGTGAAAACCCCCGCAGGCGCGGAGCCCCTCCCGCCTTGCCCCGTTCCCTGCAGGTCCCCCGTCCCTGCTGGTGCCCGGGCTCTGGGGGTCCCCCAGGGTGGCACAGGCCCCGGGGCAGCTTCGTGTGGAGACCGCTCCCGTACCAGCCATGACGGGACCCCTGGCCCCTCCAACAAGGCTTCTTCGGAGTCCGAGGTAGGGCGAGCCGGGGGCCCTCTCCCCTCTCCTCTGCTCCCCTCTGTCCTATCCTCCCACCCCCACTCCCCTTCCAGGCTTCAGACCAGCACAGCAGCGCCAGCACAAGGCATCAGCACTAAGCACCAAGAAACAAAATACAATCGCATCCCCAAACCCAGCCAGCGGCTCAGACAGGCAGACAGCCTGGACACAAAGGGGGAGCCTCGCAGGTTGGGTCAGGGCAGCAGCGGCTCTGACCCAGAGCCCGAAGCCAATGGGGGCAGCCTGGGGCCGTGCAGGGGCCCGAGCCCTCCCCTGGCCCAGCGGCCCCGCTAAAACCCTCCTGGTCTGGGAGTGGCTGGTCCTGGCAGCTTCAGGACCTTCCAAGCAGCTGCGGCAGGCCAGGCCGGGCGCACTCCCCCGCGGCGCCTCCTCAGGACGCCCCCGAGGGCTGACCCCACCCCACCCAGCCAGTACCAAGGCTGATCCCGGCGCCCGAGGCCCCATCTAGACCTTGTGCGGCAGGGCAGCTGGGCTAACCCAATGTATCCGCGCCGGTGCCGTGGCCTGCGAAACCCGAGCTCCACCGACACCCTTGCCCTTCACGGCCACGTGGCCGCCCCGGTGGAGCGCGAGGGTCCCGGGAGCCCAGCTCGGAGTTCCCAAGTCATGGCCGTCTGTGGGTGGGCACAGACGTGGCGGTCCACTGTGCTCAAGCCAGGACCACACGGACAGGAACAGGAGAGATGCCCCAGCCCGCCCACCCACTGTCAGCTGGCCAGGTACACACTACCCATTTGGCACTGAGGTATGGCGGGGAGCACAGTCCACAGAGCCTAAGTCCCAGGACTGAGGTCTCAATCGTCCACCGTGAAGAAAGCATGGCGGTCCGCCCAAGGCCCAGCTCTGGACCCCTGCCCGGGGCCTGCGCCAGCTCTGCATCGCTGCACCCGGCGGGCCCTGGCGCTCTGCCATCCCAGCTCCTCTGGGCCAGCTCGAATGGTAATCCTGTCTTCCTGGACAAAGTCTGGACATGGTGGCCAGGCGGGGGAAGGCAGGCTCCACACAAGGCATCCTTGGAGACCCGGAGATGGTGAGTGGTTCAAGGGCCGAGGCCAAGGCCACGGGGATGGACGGGGAAGGTCTGGAGCCAGAGCAGGTCCATCACGGCCACCTGGACGCGGGTGGCCTGGGCACTCTCCACTGGAGATCCTGGGCAGCGCCTGTGGTCAGGAGAGCCCCTCCCCAGCCGCCATCCCACACAGGCCCGGGTGTCACAAAGACATCGCTGGGCAGCCTGACAGAGCTGCCCACGGCGTGGACAAGTTCCAGGTTCTTCCAACTCGTGGCATTGTGGGAACACGAGGGGTCAGAAGCAGGCCTGGACCGAGGGGTAACCTCTGGGGATCTCCCTTTGCTGCAAGACTGGGGGACAGAGAGAAGCCGCCCCCCCCCCCCCACCTTCCCCAGATGCGACATCCCTCCGGAACAGGCTCACTTGGCCACCAAGAACAAGAGCGAGGCCCGGCCGGGGTGTGCAGGCTGGACGTGGACCGGCCTGGCTTCTTTCTGTGTCCCAGAGGGCGTGGACGAGACAGGGCAATGATGCAGGGCACAGGAAGAGCATGGAGAAGAGCCGCAAGTGGCCAGGCTGGAAAGGCTGGGGCCGCGGGGTCCCAGGGCATGCTAAGAGCGTGCGGGGATGCCCAACGGGCAGAGCTGGGACGTGTGGTGTGGCCGGGTGTCCAGGACGGGGGATGCATGCGCCTTGCTGGGGGAAGGAGCCAGCAAGGAACAGGAAGCACACGGCGGCGGGTGGCAGAGGGAAGCCCAGGACGGTGGCGGGAAGCCTCCTACCAACAGCTGAGGCACACCCATGTCTTCAACCGGGGGATGCCGGGGGGTGGATTGTCCTTCCTGGGGGATGCCGTGGGGTGGTCTGTCCTTCCTGGGGGATGCCGTGGGGTGGATTGGTCTTCCTGGGGGATGCCGTGGGGTGGATTGGTCCTTCCCGGGGGATGCCATGGGGTGGATTGGTCCTTCCCGGGGGATGCCGCGGGGTGGACTGTCCGGTCTGTCCTTCCCGGGGGATGCCGTGGGGTGGATTGTCCGGTCCGTCCTTCCCAGGGGATGCCGTGGGGTGGATTGTCTGGTCCGTCCTTCCCGGGGGATGCCGTGGGGTGGATTGTCCGGTCCGTCCTTCCCGGGGGATGCCGCGGGGTGGATTGTCCGGTCCGTCCTTCCCAGGGGATGCCGCGGGGTGGACTGTCCGGTCCTTCCCCGCGGCCGTCGGGGCTGTGGTGCCGGTGCTGGACCCCTAAGGGTTCGGCGCTCGGGCGGGCAGGGCCGGGGCCGGCCTGGCGCGGTCGCGGGCCGGGTGGACCGGGCAGGGCCCCGCGCCCGCAGCCTCGGGCGGGCGGCTGGGCCCCGGGCGCGGGCGCGCGGCCTGGCCCGCGGCGTGGGCCCGGCTGGCGGCCGCCGTCTTCCGGATCTGGGCGCGCCGCGCGTGCCGGCGCGGGCTCTTGTAGGTGCGGCGCAGCTCGGCCAGGAAGGCCTGGTAGTCGGTGCGCAGCGGGCTGCCGGGCTGCATGTGCGGGATGGCCCAGCGCTCCGCCTCGCCGGTGAGCCGCGACACCAGGAAGGCCACCCGCTCGGCCTCGCCCGGGAAGCGCGCGGCCTGGAAGATCATGAAGCGGTCCATCTGCATGAGGAAGCCGGCCAGCCGGCCGGGGTCGCCGGAGAAGGGCTCGGGCAGGGAGGTGGGCGGCGTGGTGGCGGGGCGCGCGCCCGGCGCGGCGGGCGCGGGCGCGGGGGCGCGCAGGGCGCCGGGCACGCGCGCGCGCGCGCGCAGCAGGCTCAGCTCGGCCGTCACGCTCTCCAGCATGTGCGTCAGGCTGGCCTTCTCGGCGCGCAGCGTGGACGCCTCGCGCCGCAGCGCCGAGTTGGTGAGGCGCAGCGAGGTCAGCGTGTCCAGCGCGGCGCCCGCGGGCGCGGCCGGGCCGCCCGCCGGGCGCGCGCCCTCCGCCTGCGCCGGCCGCGGCTGCACCATGGCGGCCCCGCGACGGCGCCCCGCGCTCACGGCCGCTCGTCCCCGGTGCGGCGCCGGCGGCGGGGCTCGGAGACCGCGCGGGCCGCGCCGGTTACCATGGAGACCGCCCCGGCCCCGGAGCTCCGCGTCGCTTCAGGCCCGGGCCCCGGAAGTGGCGGTGCGCACCCGCCTCCCGGGCCGCGGCCGCTTGACCTTCTCAGCAGCCAATCCGCGATGAGCAGCCAATCAACGGGCAGCTAACCGGCGATGAGCAGCCAGCCCGCGATGAGCAGCCAATCAACGGGCAGCTAACCGGCGATGAGCAGCCAGCCCGCGATGAGCAGCCAATCAACAGGCAGCCAACCAGTGGTGGGCGGCCAATCAACGATGAGGACCCCATCCACGGGCAGCCAACCGGTGATGGGCCCCCGTCCCCGGAGCGGCGAGGCCGTCGCCGCCTCCGGCCGGGAGCGCCCGGCTCCGTCCCGGCGGGGCGGACGCTTCCTGTGGGCGGTGCTTGACTGGGTTTGTGGCGCTGGCCTGTCTTCTTGTGTCTGGGAGGTAACAGACCCAGTTTCCAAAGAAAGCCCTCCTCCCGGGAGAGCGCGAGCTGCCGCGGCTCCTCCGGCCCTTGGCTGGCTCGCCCCGGCGCAGTGCCCGGCGCCGACCTGCTGGCTTCGGGTCACTGGCCGACCTGCTGGCCTCTCGGGTCACTGGCCGACCTGCTGGCCTCTCGGGTCACTGGCTGACCTGACCTGCTGGCCCTCGGGTCACTGGCCGACCTGCTGGCCCTCGGGTCACTGGCCGACCTGCTGGCCTCTCGGGTCACTGGCCGACCTGCTGGCCTCTCGGGTCACTGGCTGACCTGACCTGCTGGCCTCTCGGGTCACTGGCCGACCTGCTGGCCTCTCGGGTCACTGGCCGACCTGCTGGCCTCTCGGGTCACTGGCTGGCCTGACCTGCTGGCCTCTCGGGTCACTGGCCGACCTGCTGGCCTCTCGGGTCACTGGCTGGCCTGACCTGCTGGCCTCTCGGGTCACTGGCCGACCTGCTGGCCTCTCAGGTCACTGGCTGACCTGACCTGCTGGCCCTCGGGTCACTGGGTTCCGGGCGGGCCCACCGCAGGCAGCTCCCAGCCCGGTGCTGTTACTGCCTGCCACACACAGCCACGGCCCCCTTGATCGTTTTCAAAACCACCCAGGCCAATGTGCCAGCCCAAAGCTGGCTACCGACTGGGCGTCCGGATGGCCTTCCAGAGTGACTGGCCGAGCACCCGGACCAGTTCCACACCAGAGCGAAGCTGAAGAGGCTCCACGGGGCCTTCCGCTGCGGTTTGCAGCCTCTGGGCGCCAGCCGGCCCAGGATGGAGACAGATGGGGGAAGGCTCCATGCGGGGAGAGGATGCTGTGTCCCGCTGCGCCCACCGTGTGCGTTTGTGGACAGCTGGGGACATCGAGAGCCTGAGGTGCCCAGAGGAAGAGGGAGAAAGCCCTTCGGCTCTGGAAGAGCTCCCAGGCCAGATGGGAGCAGAAGCTGGTTTACTTCAGAAGTAGAAATTGGGAGCCAGGTGCTGGTAGTTCACACCCATAATCCTAGCTACTCAGGAGGCTGAGATCTTAGGATTGCAGGTTGAAGTCTGTGAGACTCTTACGTCCAATTATCCAGCCAAAATGTTGGAGGTGGAACCGTGGCTCAGGTGATAGAGAGCCAGCCTTGAATGAAAAAGCTCAGGGACAGCACCCAGGCCAAGTTCAAGCCTCAGTACTGTGCGTGTGTGTGTGCATGACCGCTCGCGCGCGCGCACGCACACACACACACACACACATTGGCCTGGGCTGGACTGAACCTCCCCCCCCCAGCCTCCCACACACGCACACGTGCACACACACACGCACACATTGACCTGGGCTGGACTGAAGCTCCCCCTCCCCCTCAAGCCTCCCACACTTGCCCATCCAGTCTTGTGGGTCGACACTCTTTCCCCACCTTCCATATCAGAGTTGAACCTCTCCAGGTCCCTGAATAAGAAGTATCAGTGAGTTGCCTGCTGCCTTCCCAGTGTGGTTGACCTTAAATATCTTATATTCACAGGTGCATTAAGTGGAAGGCGACCCTCATTTCAGAACCACATTCCTTTGTAGCTCACCTTAGTTCAAATAGCATACACAATGGCAGCCCATAAAGACAGGGCAGGGCGCCGGGCGCTGGTGGCTCACGCCTGTAATCCTAGCTACTCAGGAGGCTGAGATCTGAGGATCGCGGTTCAAAGCCAGCCCGGGCAGGAGAGACCGTGAGACTCCTATCTCCAATAAACCACCAGAAAACCGGAAGTGGCGCTGTAGCTCAAGTGGTAGAGCGCTCGCCTTGAGCTGAAGAGCTGAGGGACAGCGCCCAGGCCCAGAGTTCAAGCCCCACGACCGACAAAAAAAAAAAAAAAAAAAAGACAGGGCAGGGCATTTTGTTTTTCTTTTGAAACGAAGAGAAACAGGGAGAGTGTTTGGCTTCTGGTCCCAGATATTGCCACGAGTCATGCTCTGATGCGTCCGCCTCAGCTGTGGGCCAGATCAACAAACGATACAAAGAAAATGTTGAACAGATACAGCTGGGCCTGACAATCGAGCTTGGCTATGGTCTACAGACACCGACTGCCAGGCCTGCTGGGCTGTGGGTCCTGAGGTATGGTAGGGACATGGAGGCAGGCATGGAGCCAGGCTTCGGATCTCCAGCCAAGGGCTGGGGAAGAGAAGGGTCACCGCTATGTCAGAAGGAGTCTGAGATACAAGGATCACTGTTCGAAGCCAAACAGGGCAGAAAAGTCTGTGAGACTTACCTCTCTCTCTAATGGATCAGCAAAAGGCCAGATGTGGAACTGTGGCTCAAGTGGTAGATCTCCAGCTTTCAGTGAAAAAGCCAGGCAAGAGCACAGGGCAGGCCCTGAGTTCAAGCCCCAGCACCAGCACAAAAATGTTTTTAAAGAAATACATTTTCTTCAAAAGGGAATTACAAGGAAGCAGTTTCTGCAGTTTCTCCAGGTAAGCCGCACTGCCCCGGCCGCCTGCACAGGTTATGTGGGTGTTAGTCTGAAGGTGCTCTGTGTCTCAAGGGGCCCTCGTTATTCTGCTGTGGGCAGAATCTTGTGGTGATCCTACCCAAAGTTGCATTCTGTGATCCTAAGTTCACACCGGTTGACACCTTCAGAAAATAGTCCTGAAGACAGTGTTGAGAAAGCCCTGATTCTAGAGATGGACGTCCAAGTAGACTTAAATGGCTAAATGAAGACTGTTTTGAGTGTGTGTGTGTGTGAAAATGTGAAACTATCAGCTGGGCATGATGGCACACCACTATAACCCCAGCTCTGGGAAGTGGAGGCAGGAAGATCACAAGTTTGAGGCCAGCTAGGACTACATACCAAGACCCCACCAGGGAAACAAAGTCGGGGCTGACAGAGTGGCTGTATCAATAGATGAGTTGCCCAGCAAGCGCCAGGCCCTGAGTTCAGTTCCCAGAGTGCCAATCAGTCAATACAAATAAAAGCAAAATGAAAACAAACATGTACATAACCCAAGCCAAGTGTCTCTATACGTTCTGCCCTTGTGCTTGCAGTCTGGGTAGGTTTCCTCGATGAATATTTTCATAAGCCGAAATTCATTCCCCTCAAAATGTTTATTATTCTTTTGAAATGTTTCATCAATTCAGATGCTTGAAAATAGTAGGCCTTCATTTCCTTCCACTGCCGTGCAAAATATAAATCTCTCTAATTAAAACTGGGAATCACATCAAAAGATGGGGCCCACACGCTGACATAGCCCAGAAACAATGATGGAGTTAGAAAGAAACCTGACCGCACACCGGAGGCCCCTCAGCACTGCGTTCCTCCCTCTCCTCCCTCGGCTTTGTCAGGCTGTGCTTCGGTGTTTGTCTCCGGGCAAGGGCTGGTTCTAATCATTACAATCTGAGAACAGTTCAAACTTTGAAACTCTTGGCACTCATTTACTGAACACTTCGATTAAAGATTTCCGACAGATTTGACCACAATGCAACGCACACAAAGAAAGGTCTTTACAAAATGTTCGATGTTGCCGCCGACAGCAGGTCAGTGTTCGTTGCAAATCTTCAAGGTTGCAAAGTCTGACGAATGCCAAAAAAAGAGAAGAAAAGGGACTTGTGCCAGGCTCCAGTGAGTCTTTGTATTTGACATTAACTTTATCACGAGTTTGAGCCCACATCTGCTGCTGCCCCGATGAGTATATCCACAGCCTCGACAGCCAGAGCGTCTGTTCCGGGTCACAGAATAGCAGGGGTTCTTTGGACGCTTTCACCTCAACAAGCACACTGCTGCTCTGCTTATTCCTTTTCCTGGTTTCCAAACTGGGCCTTGAACTTGGAGCCTTCTGCTTGCATAGACAGGCTCTCTACCCCTTGAGCCAAACTCCCAGCCCCTTTTGCGGTGGCAATTTTTCCAATGGGGTCTTACATCGCTGCCCTGGCCGTGAAGAACCTTGATCTCCCTGTTCCTTTTCCAAGGTAGCTGGGATGACAGGCAGGTGACAGCTGTTTTAATTGGTTGGCATGAAGGTCGCAAGTGTTTCCTTTTCCTTGTTCAGGCTGGTTGGTGTCCAGTAAAGATCTTCCTGCCCCCTCCAGCTCCCAAGCAGCTGGGTTACAGGCTGAGCCGCCGGCCCAGCTTCGCTGCTGCCTGTTGTGGCAAGAATGCTGCTTTTCATCAGAGAGCTGCGGCCAATCCTCACTGGACTCCCTCCTCCCACTGGGCCGGGCGCAGCTTGTGATTTTTGTTTGGACCAAGGCTGGAAGACAATTTGACACAGATTAGAAAATGGGGGGAAGTGGACACAGTGTATGTCTGGCCCCCCCAAATCCCAGCAAGTGAGACTGTCCCCCAGGGGCTGAAACCTGGAAATAACCCAAGACTCACAGCCAGGAGGACTGGTGTCAGCAGGGAATCTCAGACCGGAGTGTACACTGGAATGTTCTGGAAGGGCTGACCCTGCATCCGCGTGGAG